TCTGTGCTCCCAAAGGGGGCAGGGCCGGCCCACAACATTTTGGCACCTGAGGGGGGGAGCTCAAATGACGCCCCCATGGCCCCTCGCTTGGGCCAAAACTTGGCAAGGTCTCAATTCTGCCTCCTGCCTGTTCTACTCCTCTCATGGCCCTGCTCTGCTGCCTACATCTGCACCAGCAGCAGACACAGTTTTCTATACTCTGGGTCCTACAGGCACCCCCCACAGTCTGGCACCCGAGGCGGCCGCCTCAGTTCGCCTCATGGTAGGGCCGGAGGAGCGGGGCTGGGTCAGCCAGCTCTCCGTACCACCCAGTGAGCGCCATGTCACCTCTCCCCCCCAAGACTGGAGTGTGCCGCACAACATCCAGCGGTGATTTAACAGCAGCACCCAGGCCCTGGGCCTTTTTGAATTGCCGGGCCCTGGGGCAGCTGGTGGGCCTGCCCACGGTACAGCACACACAACTGAAGACCCCTCAGCTTGTTTTATGAGGAGAGGCTTCGCAGAACTGCCCGGATACCCAAGTTCCCTCGACTGTTTAGCAGAGCAGCGTGGGAATCTTTTACTTTTTCGGAGCAACCGTCGCCCAGGCCGAAGAAATTGAGGCTCAGTCTCTTCCCTGAAGGATGGCATGTTTAACAGGCAGCACCATTCCCCCTGTGCAGAAGCTCTGCTGAGCCTCTGACCTAACCCCCCCGCCAGTGAAAAGTCTCTTAGCTGAGACCTCCTGAGGAACCCTTCGGCTACGTCTACACTTCAAGGTTTTTGCGCAAAAACCCAGGAGCGTCCACACTTCAAGCGCGTTTTTGCGCAAGAAAATCTACAGCCAATCGACAGAACAGAGGGCTTTTGGCGGTGTGGGTAAACCTCCTTCTGCGAAGCAGAACTCCTTTTTGCGCTACAGCTCCTACGGAAAAAGGCTTGTGTGGATGCTCCGCAGGGTTTCTTGCGCAAAAAGAGCCTACCGGAAAAAGCACAGGTGCTCTGATGGCCAAGCATCCTTGCGCAAGAGCGTCCATGCAGCGTGGACGCTCTCTTGCGCAAAAGCGATGCGCTTTGAGGTGTGGACTCGCTTTTGCGCAAGACGTTTCTGCGCAAGAACTCTTCCGTAAAAGGCTTCTTGTGCAAAAACCCGGAGGGTAGACGTAGCCTTCCAGAGGGGAATTGACAGGATAGAAACGTAGCCCCCTCCTCCCCCTCCGCAAAACCAGAGTGCGCCAATCCAAGGCGGAACCGAGCCCAACTGGGGATGGCCACTGTCATTCTGAAAGCTTCCAAATTAGGCTCCCTGAGACCACAGCTGCCCAGCATGACATGCGGCTAGACAGCACCTCCTGCCGTGCCTGGCGCTCACTAGGGATCTAAGTTACTTTTGCTTTCCAAAGAGTGGCCGGCAAACCTCCCTCTCACCTTATGAGCATCCATCAAGTTCATGACCAGATCCAGATCACCATGGACCGGCTGGGGGTGGGGCCAGCGCGTCCATGAACTGGCCCGAGAAGAGCAGGGCTTCTTCCAGCTTGTGCTGCCTGCAGAGAAAGCATCCGAGAACCGCTGAATGGACTTTCCAGCCGGAGCAGCAACGCCGCTCGCAGTGTGTGCTGTAGCATCAGCACGTTGCTGGCTGCTGTGCTTGGGCTGTGGGTGACCCCTACTGGCCTCTGTCTGTAAGCACGGCGCGTCCATGAACTGGCCCGAGAAGAGCAGGGCTTCTTCCAGCTTGTGCTGCCTGCAGAGAAAGCATCCGAGAACCGCTGAATGGACTTTCCAGCCGGAGCAGCAACGCCGCTCGCAGTGTGTGCTGTAGCATCAGCACGTTGCTGGCTGCTGTGCTTGGGCTGTGGGTGACCCCTACTGGCCTCTGTCTGTAAGCACGGCCCAGCAGGGAGCGCCTTGAGGCCCCCCCCCCAGTGACCAAACCGGTCCTATCGGTTAAGGGACAGGACTGATCAAAGGAAGTGAGTGTTGGGGGAAGGGTCAGTTTTTGGCTGGAACGATGAAGGAGACAGGCTAAGGAAGGGGGCTGGGAGTCTAGGGGCCCAGGCACCCCATCTCAAGGGGTCTGAGGTATCCTGGCTCTGACTCCTGTAGCCACGTCACGTCTGTGCTGGGCTGTACCCTGGAGAAGCAATAAGCCCTCTCTGTTCTACTGGCTGGCGGAGCCTGTTCTTGCTGCTACAGGGCTGCAGGATCGGGGGGGGGGAACCCCAACATGCCATCACACAGTGGAATCAGGAAGGGGTTCTTTATCCGCCCATCTTTCTGGTGACATCCTCATCCTCATGACAAACCCTCAACAGACTTAGCCTCCTCGGAGATCAAGCGTCACCTGGATCAATTGCCTTACGGCAGTGGTCTCCAACCTTTTTACACCCAAGATCACTTTTTAAGTCTCAGAACAGGCGAAGATCTACTGCCCCGCCCCTTCCTTGAAGCCCCGCCTACATTACATGAGGAAATCTAATGTAAATGTACTGCACAGGCGCGCAGTTCAGAGAGGGCTCAAGAGCTACTCTTAGAGCCCCTGAGATCTACTGGTAGCTCGCGATCTACTGGTTGGTGACCACGGCCTTACGGGTCTGGCTGGACATTTGGGTGGCATGTCTGATGCCACGCTTGGGCATCACGTGATTATTTCCCTTTATTCGAAGCCACGTCTGGAGGACTGCGTCCCATTCTGGGCCCGCCCTCCCCATTACAGAAAGGATGTGGAGGCATTGGAGAGGATCCAGTGGAGAGCAACAAAAATGATGAGGGGGCTGGAGCACTTGACTTACGAGCAGAGATTGAAGGATTTGGGCTTATTTAGTCTTCAGACAAGTGAGCAGGGATGTGACAGTAGCCTTTAACTACCTGGAGGGGGGTTCCAAAGAGGATGGAAAGAGGCTGTTCTCAGTGGTGGTGCAGATGGCAGAACAAGGAGCAACGGTCTGAAGTTGCAGTAGGGAGTCTAGGTCGGATATTTGAAAAAACTAGTTCCCTAGGAGGGTGGGGAAGCCCTGGGATGGGTTCCCTAGGGAGGGGGTGGAATCTCCATCCCTAGAGGTTTTTATGTTTCAGCTTGACCAAGCCCTGGCTGGGAAGATTTGGTTGGGGGCTGGTCCTGCTTTGGGCAGGGGGTTGGACTTGATGACTCCTGAGGTTTCTGCCAGGCCTGGGATTCTAGGATTCTCTCTGCTTTGTGACCTACATCCACACCCTCAACAGCACATTTACAATGTGTGATATAAAATCAAGCTCCAGCGGCTCACCCCCTCGCTGGTCCTTCACTGTTCCAACAGAAGAGCCCAGCGTGGATACAGCATTTTGTATCCACATCGGCTAAAACGAGCTGCGGGTGGATATCTGCGCCCATGGCTGTGGATGCAGATACCCGCAGATATAAAGCAGACATCTGCAAATTTGCAGAACATTTGTATATTCCCACATTAGAACGAGGGGTCACCAAATGAAATTAATAGGCAGCCGGTTTAAAACAAACCAAAGGAAGTTTTTCTTCACATAGCACACAGTCAACCTGTGGAACTCCTTGCCAGAGGAGGTCATGAAGATCAGGAATGTAACAGGGTTCAAAAAAGAACTAGATACATTCGTGGAGGTTAGGTCCATCAGTTGGTATTAGGGTAGGCATGGTGTCCCTAGCCTGTGTGTGTCAGAGGCTAGAAGTGGAAGAATCACTTAATTCCTTGTTCTGTTCATTCCTTCTGGGGCATCTGGAATTAGCCAGCGTCGGCAGACAGGACGCTGCGCTAGATGGACCTTTGGTCTGACCCCATCTGGCCACTCTTAGGCTACGTCTGCACTAGCAGCTTCTTGCGCAAGAACTGTTTTGCAGAAGAGCTCTTACGCAAAAAGTCTTCCACAAGAAAGTGTCTACACTGCCATGTGCTTTTGCGCAAGAGCATCCATGGCACTGTGGATGCTCTCTTGCGCAAGAAAGCTCTGATGGCCATTTTAACCATAGGGGCTTCTTGCGCAAGAAATTCATGTTACCTGTTTACACTGGCCTCTTGTGGAAGAGCTCTTGCGCAAGAGGGCTTATTCCTCGTGGGGAGAGGAATAACTCTTCCGGAAGAAGCCCTGTTTTACAACGCTGTACTGTAAATTTACTTGCGCAAGAACGCGCATGCAGTGTAGACAGCAGGCAAGGCTGTTCTTGTGCAAGAAGCTGCCAGTGTAGACATAGCCTTATGTTCTTATGTATCTGTAAAAGTGTGCTGTGAATACCTGCCTCCACATCTGGGGCTGTGGACACCTGCGGAAATAAAGTGGGTATCTGTGGATTTGCAGGGCTGTATCCGACAGGGGTTTTTTGTAACAAACGCTGCTCTCACCTTTCCACAGATTTGCCGCAGACGGTGTCCCATTTGTCCCGGACTTCTCCGAACAGGTTGTCCAGTTTCTGGGTGTCGTCTGGCAACAGGGCTTTTTCTTTCAGGGCTCTCCCCGTCCGAATGGTGGTGTCATAAACGGGCTGTTTGGCACCGAGGGTCTTTTGGAACTCCTGGGTTTGACCCCACCGAGAAGAACACAAAGGAAAGGCCGTTAGCAGGCAACACAACCTTGTGAGCGAATAGCTCTGTGGAAGAAATGCCTCCCCTACAAGGTTGTGTCTATGCTCCTGCGACGTTACACTAAGACGCGGAATGCGCCGTTCCTCTTGCGGGCTCATCCCTCCCCTCTGATTTTAGCCAAGTGACTGAGCTGAACTGGTTTTGGGGAGAGCAGGTTTCATTTCCCTTCCAACTACCCCCCGCTCGAAGGCCCTGATCACAGCTGGACTGCAAACAAACCCTCCACCTTGTGCTTGGAGAGCTGCAGTTTGATTTTGTCTGGATCGTTGGAAATCTCCAGCTCGGAGTCCAGATGGTTCTCTGCGTCTTCCAGCCAATCGACCAGCTTTCTCCAAGCTTCGTGGAACTGAAATTGCACGGGGGGGAAGTCAGAACGTAGCGCTCGCGTCTTCCAGGCCTTCGGAAGGCTCAGGAGACTGAGGCTCGGACCAGGGATGCCCCTCGGGTCCATTTTCACAGCTCTCACCTGTTTGGCCCGTTTCCTCGCGTCGTCGAGCGCGCGGCCTCTGTCCACGGAACGCTGCACCACTTTCTCCCAGCGGGACTGGACGCTGACCAGCAGGTTCTTGATCAAAACCACGTCCTGCTTTTGACTGAGGAACTTCAGCTGGTTCCCCGTTTGATCGAGCTCGATGATCTGGTCCCGGTGATCATTGACTTCATTGGCAAAAACCTGGAGTAACCAAGATTTACTCTCATGTTAAGAGTCTCGGGGGGAGGGAAGCCATGTTAGCCTGTAACTTTAAAACCAACGAGTAGTCCTGGGGCACCTTAGAGACGAACCAAAATAGATAACGAGGCTCATGAGCTGTCCCGGGGCACTTCATCAGATGAGTTGGAGTGGAAATAACAGAAACCGAGATATATACAACAGCAGAAGAAGTACCTGTCAATTGCAGGTCCCTTGTTAATGAAGCTAATTAAGCGGGCTCGATGTGTCCCATTCATAGCTATTGATGTGAAAATGCGGCTGTTAAAGGCAGTGGAAATTGGCTTTGTAGTGCGCTAACCAGTTAATATTTTTATTCAAGGCCAGGGTAGCAGTGTCAAATTTGTAGATGAATTCCAGTTCCGCAGTCTCTCTGTGTGATTGGGTGGCGAAATTCCTTTGTAGAAGAATGACTACTTTTAAATCCATGATCGAGTGACCAGGTTCAAATGTTCCCCTACAGCAGGGGTGGGAAACTTCAGGCCCAGGGGCCGAATGCAGCCTTTAGCTTAGCAGGATCCGGCCTCCATGGCTCCCCCCCTGCAGAGCTGGAACACACAAAATCTACCAGCCTGGGCCCCCCCCAGGCTCTAGTGTGTGAGGGGGATATGAGGAGGGTCTTTCTCTTTCTTAGTCGGGGGCGTCTCACTTGTGGCCCCCGACTGGTTTCCCTGCGAGTCTGACCCGAAAAAGGTCCCTCCCCACATCCTACAGGTTTGTGCGTGTTACCATTTCTGATGTCTGACTTGTGTAAAAAGCCTGGGAGTCTCTCTAGCGTCTTCCCCACACAGACAGCACCGAGACTAGCGAGCCACAAACGTTTGCTTTGTGAAACAGAGCAAGTCAGAGCGTTCTGCACAGAACTCCTGCGTCCCAAGGTTACCTTGTGCTCATCGATCTGAGCCAGCACTGTTGTCAGGATAAGGCTGGGTGGAGGAGCGATGTTCAGACTCTGTTCCGCCAGGGTCAGCCAGTTAATGAAGTCCTGTAGGGAATTCTGGAACTCCGTAGCCAGGCTGAGCGCTTCTTCCAGCTTGGACTGAATTTTAATAAGGGGAAAGGCGGGAGCGAGAAAAAAACACAAAGAAAGCACCAAATTCACAATCGGAGGCACAGCAGACAGACCTGCATTGTACTCTAAAGGAAACGAACTCGCCCGCGGCAGCTCCCACAGAACACGACTTGTTTACCAAGAG